TGGCCCAGGCTTGCCGAAGGCCTTCTGCTGCGGCCAGATAGTCGGAGGTTCGTCCTTGGTGGCATGGTAGTTGGATCGGGCCGTGAATAAGGAGCACTGCGGCCCCGGTTTGTTTTGTCCTTAGCTTTGGACGGAGGAGTGGAGATTGGAAGTGGCGCCCCCGCCTGGAGCGAAGCGTAGAGGGCTTGTAGCTCCGGCTTGTTCAGACGGTGAGGAGCAAGGATGCCAGCGTTTGAGAGCACTTGTCGTAACTTTGGCACAGTCCATTTCTCCGTAGCTGGAGCGGAGGAGAGAGCCGAGGCATAGGAGGACGCTGGAGAAGGTGGCTGACGCCTGGAAGGTGAGGGTGAAGGAGAATCTCGGCGTCTGAAGGTATGAGTGGCGGCGATGCGGGAAGGCTGGCGGCCCCGAAGTGCAGCCGCGGGCTCAGTTGGGGTGCCCTGCGGAGCGCTGGCGCACTGAACGTCGGCTGTAAATGCGGGAGGAGCTGTGCTGTCGAAGGTGTTTTCCTCAGGGAATTCGATCTCGGACATCATGCGGTTGGATGTACCAATGCTGAAAGTCGAGAGATAACGAAGGTAGGGCGTACTTGGTTATTTATGGGAGTTTTCTCTTGAGCTGATTGGATAAATGGTGTAATCACTAATGATGAACTGGCCGTGTCAATTATCTGTGCGTGCTCCTCCCGAAATTTGTTTGTAATCATCACTTAGTGGCAGTTAAGCATATTTTAAGAATATGTCCGTATGAATAGAAAGTCATCACAAGCTGAGGAAAAGTGTATACAACAGCAGAAAGCAATCCAATAGCACTCATAACATTTGTGTCATCACAGGACAGTTTGACAAGAGAATAGTTGGAGCAGTAGACTCGCCCTACAATGTTTCTACAGTGTGTCAAGCGCAGAGTCAGAATAAAAAACAAAGCGAATGCCACTAAAGGATAACCCCATGAGAAAGCTATTAGTTTATACACTTTTGTGATCGTCATAATAGTGTGATACTGCAGCAGATAGCAGATGGCCACATAGCGATCATAGCACATCACTGACAAAATGGTGAACTCTATGATAGCATATGTGTGTAGGAAGTAAGTTTGAGCCTTACAGCATGCCAAAGATACCTCATGAGGAGGAGACATTAAAGTAGCTAGCAAGGGGGGAAGCAAAGCTGTGCTACCATAGATGCCATTTACAGCCAAGTTACATAGAAAGATGTGCATAGGTTTATGAAGCACTTTGTTGCTAATTACGACAAAGATCACAGTGATGTTTGCAAAGAGTACAAGCATGTATAACGTGAAAAAGATGACTAAGTACAGGTATTTATGGTCCTCCATTCTGTAAAAGGCTTCCAGTATTATAAATGACACAACGGATGAGTTTTTCATCTTCTTTATAATGTTCAACTCACTGTAAACAAAATATTCAGATTAAAATTCAGTCTCCATTGTCTCTCGGTGCTGGCAGTTATCCAGTCCATGTGTAAAGTTAAGATACCTACAAACAGTAGTCCAGATAGTTCAAATCAAATGAACAACATGGATGACACATCATGACTCTTACTTTACTGTGCATTCATGCTGCTTATATGAGCATTGTGTATAACTTTGGATGTCTGTCTTGGGGTTTCAGATCACATGATGATGATGTTCTGTGTATGTAAATTTCCTGTTATGGAACATTTCTTGAATGCGAAATGCTAATTCATTCTACATTTATTGAACCTTTAAAGCCTGACATGAAATAATAGTCCGATTTTATTTTATTTTTTTTATGTATCAGTTGAACAGGAGATAATTTTGGAGATCACTAGATGTAACGCTGGAGATAATGTTGGAGATGACGGGAGTTAATGGTGGAGATCACAGGAGTTCATGTTGGATATTGCTGGAGATAATGTAGGGGATGACTGGAGTTAATGTGGGAGATCAAGGGAGATCACTGGAGTTAATGTTGGAGTAAACATTGGAGATCGCTGGAGTTAACACAAGACTGTGATCACCAGCGATCTCCAGCTTTATTTCCTGGATTCTCCAATGTTTACTCCCATGACCTCCAAAGTTAACTCCAGTGATCACTAATGTTAACTCCAGCGATATCCAACATTGACTCCCTTGATCTCCAATGTTAACTCCTGTGATCTCCAACGTTATCTCCAGTGATTTCCAGCTTTATATACAGCAATCTCCAACTCAACCTCTGTGATCTTCAACATTATCTCCAGCGATCTCCAACTTTAACTCCAGTGACCTCCAATGTCTCCATAAGTACTCTTGTCTGCTCCCAAATGTTTGTGCTGATCTGATAATCTGTGCCGATCTGCTTACAAAGACATCATTATAACTGTTACTCCATCACTGATATACCTTGTCTGATCATGTATTTAACTGCTATTACCCTACATCTGAGCAATAAATACCTGCTGATTTGGTTCATAACATCTAGTGTCATATGTCTGGAGTTCTGTGACAGTGGACATTATAGAATTTAACTAAAAGGTATTTGCTAAAAAATAATAAACTATCAATCAGACGACAGAAGGCATGTAGTAGATTGTATACAACATGTTTTTTTCAGCAGAGTTTTGATCAGGTTAATAATATAGAAGCCTTAGAAATGTGCATATCATGGTCTCAAACTGAGCTTCAGACTGCTTACCTGTGCTCCATGTGTCTCTCCTGCGATTCTCCAAGCCTGTGCTCCTTCGTTGTCTCCTGTGTTCCCCGAAAATCTCCTTGGATCCTCTTACCTGTGTGTGTATTCTATCTGGACACTTACCAATCACAAAGAGGTGTGCACTCTATCCTCTGCTACGTGTTCTTGATCTCTCCACTATCTACAAGGACAGTATCCTAGTCAAATCTCAATATCGTCTATTATCTGCTTCCTATCTTGCTGTTAATAAACTCTTTGAACTGACCTCTGCTATCCTGAGTCCTTCTGTTACAGAAGACCAAACCTTTAAAGAACAACAGCACGAGCATCTCGGATCCATTCCAAAAGCCCGTGGACTCTCTCAAACGAGCATTGAGTTCCTCCACATCCGCATCACCATCCACCACTTCTCCTTCAGTCCCGTGACCAATCCAGTGCCCTAGTCTGGCTTGGCAAAGGATTGCAATGGATTCTTCTTGCAATGTTCGTTGGCCCTGGAGATGCAGCCGCATCAGTTTACCACAGAATGGGCAATAATCGCTTCCATCATTTGAAAAATTCATTTGCAAAAACCGATAAATGGCACTTAAAAAAAAAAAAAAAAAAAAAAGCCGATTGCGTGCATTATTCTCCACATATAGTGTGATCTGAACCCTAAACACGTGTAGCGCCCCCTACCTTTCTGAAGTAGAATTTTGTAAGGAGCAGCACCAGGTTCAGAAACTAAATGCCTTGTGATGTTGGATTAAGACCCCCTCTCCGACTACACTGTACCCTTTTTTCCCTTGCTAGGTTTGTTGTCTGAATAAAGATCTCTTTAACCTACTTTTGTATCGGGTCCTACTTCAATAAGATGTATCCCCACATATAATAATATTCACAAACAAATAAAAAGAGAATTTAACAAATAAAGACGAGTAATTTAAAGAAATCGTAATTTGAAATGATAATGAAAATTAAACAAAATACTCAGATGCTCAAATGAGAGGAATTATTGAGTTACAATATACCTGAAATCAAGTATCACCCAACAACTGTTACACTTATGGCAGTGCACACAGTTTAGCAAATGAAAAAGTAAATGTTTGGTTAGTTTCAACTATGACAGAGTCCTTAAATGAGCAAATAACTCAAATTTAACTCTGCAGAAAATATACCCTAAGCAACCAGTGTATCAACAGAATTAAACAGTAATATCAGTGGGCCCACACAAACACACACACAGCATAACAGTTTCAACACGCACCTCAGTATATGCGAGGAAATGTGTGAGCTGTCTCGGTTAAAGGCAGCTACTCAGTATAACCCCGAGAAACTCAATGTTAACCCACTGTGAGCTAACTGTATCTCAGAAGTCCAATAACAAATATACTCAGTTTTAAACAAAATTAAACAAACTAAAATCACGCTTTCTCACATTTCAGTTTTCCACTCACAACAAACTTCTCACGACTCTCTCCTCCGTCTCTCTCTCACCTCTTCATTACCCAATAGCGTTACAGTCATCTATTTGGGAGGCGGGTTTAAGCTATTAAGCAATCACTAAACATAAGACAAGCATGATTGTACACACCACGTTTTTCACATGTGCATTTCTAACAAACTTTTACGCTACATTACGTAATGATACATACGTACGTAGAAACGTACCTTAATAGAAAGCTTTTAAAACATCATCCCCGAATTAGAAATGAATGGACAATGCACAAACAAATGATAAACAAACAATAGAATAAAATAAATGTTTTAACCCTATTACTCATAGGATTTTTATATAGTTTTTTTTTATATACACACGTTTTGTCAAAAAAGCCGGTTTTGTCCACTTTCAAGGTATCGCGAGTTTACACTGCAGAAGCCGACAAGCGCCCTTGTTGTTTTTGAACAAAAGCCGATAAGTCAATTTTAGCGAATCAGACCGCTGTATTCAGGTCAGGTGACAAGGCTACTTTCACTTTGAAAAGACGTGCTAGCTGAGAGGAGTTTCGTCAAAGCTGACTAAAAGTGATCAAGGATGGATCATTTCGACGAACTTGATGAACCTGTGATATCTTCTTCAGGGAGAAAAAGGACAATAAAAGCGGAAACGTTTTCAAGGAACATTGCAAAAGCAGCGCGTTACAATGGTGAGGGAAAAGCTCTGTGTATTGCGTGTAATCACATCCATACAATTTATGATCACAACAATATAATATATTGTATAATAATTGTATAATAATACTATATTATAATATAATATAATATGTTAAAAACGCTATTTTAGCCAATTCCTAAAGTAGTAGATTGAAAAAAAAAACAGGCAAGGTCTACAGTTTTTAAAAAGTTAATATCAAAACTTGAGCTGCACATTTTTAAACCTTTGTATCATGCCGCAAAACTGCAAAAGACGTGCAATATATATTACAATAATTAATATAATATTATAACATAATATTTTATTGTAATTTATACCATGATCTGTCTAAATATTCGATTCTGATTGGCAGGCAGGTATGCGTTAAAACCGTTTAATGCACAGGTAGTTCCAAGTCAGTTTAATCACCGTTCTATATCAATGCGCTGCTTTAACTGATGGACACAAACACACACACAAACATAGGAACACAGGAAACTTGTTGTCATCGCTGCCCCGCGACTTACATTGATGAAATAGCTTAAGTTACATATTGGATAGCCACCTTATATTCCTCAGCAATGAGGTTTTTAAAGGGGTCAGAGCTAACGAGCCGTAACTGACAAAAATAACTATAATTTTTACCTTTCCGGTCAAATATTGCACTGCAAACATCATTCAAACAATCAAACAACAGCTTTTACTTTTCAATGCTGGCAAATTGATCATGATATAAGCAGGATAATGCACAGCTAGCTGTGCATCAAACGATTTTAATGCACGACGTGTAGGCTGAGAACCACCCGACGCGATGCCGAGAACAGCTAGCAGTGCATTATCCTTTACGAATTAAGTTACAGCTATTAAATATAAAATGTTTTATTATCAAGTCAAGTCAAGTCAAGTCTGCTTTATTGTCAATTCTTCCACATGTACAGCACATACACACAGAGAATTGAAATTGCGTTACTCTCAGACCCTTGGGTGCAAAGCCCTCCGCCGCGGGTCTTACCTCCCTCGACGCGAGCTCTGTCCGCTCAATAGCATGTCAGCTGATCGAGATGAATAGCGCAGTCCGGAACGCTGTTGTTGAGCCATGTTTCCGTGAACACAAAAACACAAAAACCGCTGTGGGCGAGATGCAGCAGTGGGGGTCGGTGATGGAGTGGGCCTCCAGAGCACACCGAGATCCCGCAGCTCTTCGGCGTGCGCAGAGTTTAACTCTAAAAATGTGTTTCTGCCGACATCGAGCAGAAACTCACGACAATATGCGCGCTTGGAAACAAATAGACGCGACGAATGCGTACAAAAACACTGCGACTCACAAGACAAAAAACACGAAAACACCTTTCTGTCGGGAGAGAGAGAAGCCGCAGCGTGTGAACGCGCCGCCATCTTGGATCATCAAATATTATGTAATGTTTTAATTGTTCTTTGACACTTCTCTGTTGAAAAACAGGTCATTCAAAACTAACGTTTGAAGGCAATTCCCGCGTTGTTGATAAGAACATCGAGGCCGTTGTACTTCTCCAGAAACTTTTTCAGTTTCAGCGAGCTTCCTTGGTCACATATATCAAGTTCATAGAAGATTAAGTTTTTGCATCCTTCAGATTGCAGTCCAGCAACCGCCTCTTGTCCCAGTTTCTCATTCCATGCAGTAAGGACAATATCTCCATTGAAACCTGCTTTGCACAGCCCTTAAACAATAGCCAGTCCGATGCCTTTATTTGCCCCTGTAACTACAGCCACTCTTTTCAATTACAGGTCTCTGCAGGAAAGTAATGGGAGTTACCAGATCGGGGCGTTTTTAGACCATGTTTCCTGATTGGCTGACGTCATAGTGACGGTAGGTTTAGGGGTGGGGTTAGGCAATGGGGGATCATTTTGATTGCATGATTGAGAAACACCCTGCAGTTTGCAAACACCCACAAATTCAGAAACGCCCACTTTTGCTCTGCAGAGACCTCAATCTCACTCTTTTGGACATTGTGGGTTTCTATAGTCTGCCGTTAAATCACGAAATAAAGAGTCTGCTGTTGAGCTTTGAAATGTTATTTTCTGGAATGTTCCGTATTTGCACAGCGCGCAGCTGCTCCTCCTCTAAACCGGATAACAACAAAAGAAAGTGCAAGTCATGCTTATGTTGATAAACTTTATTGATAGCTTTATCGCTCGGGTGTAATTTAAATGCACATTATATTAAATGTTATAAAATATGATACTATAGTTATCAGCAGACGTAACAGTAATAGGTTATATCAATAGATGCTAAAATTGTTAAACGAGAAGCACACTTTCAAATAAATATGGCAATGAGGAATATATATTACAATGAAAGAAAAACAGTTTGTCGTTTTTGTTTAGGCTATATATCCCTGGAGGAATAAAACTTAGATAACCCCAATGTAAAAAAAAAAAAAGATCTCGAAGTAGTAAATTGAGACGGTTCAACAACTATTAGCGTACTGGGTTTTAAAAGAAATATAATTTCAGTGATTCCACTTCAATGTGTTACTTGCTTTTTATTTGTATTTAGTTTTTTTTTTTTAGTATAGCTGCAAATGATATGTGCAAATTAAGCTTTCAGGTAAAAACTAATTTTATGTCACAAAACATTACAAACTCGACAGGTCTGCCTTTTTAGTGACAGAATCAGCGAGTGTGAGTCAAGAGGGCATGTAGAGAAAGCATTTAAAATCCATCGTTAATTGTGATTTGTCTTTATTTGCTGCCATCTGCTGTTTAAAAAAAGTTGAAGATAAATTGTCAGATCCCAGGCTACCCACATGAAAAAAGTTCTATAGTAAATTAATTAAATAAAATGTATTAAAATTTCCATAGTAAATACTATAGTGTTTTGAACCATAAAGGTACTATAGTAAATTGCAACTTATGAATGGTCATTTGCTGTGGTAATTCTACTATAGTAATATAGACAAATTACTTTAGCCATTACTGTAGTAAATTTTCTAACACTCCAGTATAGGATATTACAACATGACAGTCTTAACAGCGCAAGTCAGGCCAAAACATATACTAATACAAAGCATGCAAATTCCTTAAAATGTACAACACTAAACAACATCTTAAGAAGTAATTGTTTTTTTTATTATTTTTGTTCTTGGCTGCATTATTTAACCTGACATTACTGTCATGCAGAAATGGGAGTCTGGCCTTGGCAGCCCCTGAAAGAAACACACACATTAACACACACACAAGTGAATTTATTACTGGTAGATGCACTTTTATGTGTCTTAATTGTTATTTCCTAAGTCTTTCTTGGGATGGACGACTTAACTGGAGTGCCTTTTGATGACTGGACCCCAGTCACTGAATGTTTTCAGGCCCAGTGTCTGTTGATGCAGACAAACATCAAGGGTTGACTTGGCCGGAGTAGGGGCTAGCTCAGGCAGTCCTGACTGCAGAAGACTCTCCAGCCTCTGCCCAATACCTGCTAGGACTATCTATCAACCCATATCCATGAACATCTCTTTTTTTTCTCCCACATTTCTCAGTAAGGATCGGAACAGAACACCAAGTGAAACTTTGTTTAATTACTTGTTTTCTTGAATGGTGACAATCAGTGCGTTCATTACACTATTTACTGACTACTGCTTTCAGAGGGCAACATATCATCTTGTATGGAGACCTCAGCATAATTCAGATATTACTTACAAATGTTAGGAACGTAAGCTATTTATTGACACAATGAAACATTTGAAACCATGCATTTTTTTCACCTAGAAAATAACAAAGATCCTACTTTAAAGGCAGTATCTTATTCTTAGAGCCACAAAGTCGAAAAATATTGCCTCTCAGAGCCTGAACACTCAGCCCATAAATGGCTGGATTCAGAATAGGAGGAAATATCAAGAAATAAAGTGACATCAATATTTGTGTTTCAAATGGGAGATAACTTGTGTCAAAGCGACTTTGTATAATTTCAAAAAAACATCCCACACTATAGTTCAGTATTGCAAATAAGTGTGGAGTGCAGGTCTTCAGTGCTTTTATTTTAGACTCTTTAGTGGCAGTAAAGCATATTTTAAGAATATGTCCGTATGAATATAAAGTCATCACAAGCTGAGGAAAAGTGTATACAACAGCGAAAAGCAATCCAATAGCACTCACAACATTTGTGTCATCACAAGACAGTTTGACAAGAGAATAGTTGGAGCAGTAGACTCGCCCTATAATGTTTCTACAGTGTGTCAAGCGCAGAGTCAGAATAAAAAACAAAGCGAATGCCACTAAAGGATAACCCCATGAGAAAGCTATTAGTTTATACACTTTTGTGATCGTCATAATAGTGTGATACTGCAGCGGATAGCAGATGGCCACATAGCGATCATAGCACATCACTGACAAAATGGTGAACTCTATGATAGCATATGTGTGTAGGAAGTAAATTTGAGCCTTACAGCATGCCAAAGATACCTCATGAGGAGGAGACATTAAAGTAGCTACCAAGGGGGGAAGCAAAGCTGTGCTACCATAGATGCCATTTACAGCCAAGTTACATAGAAAGATGTGCATAGGTTTATGAAGCACTTTGTTGCTAATTACGACAAAGATCACAGTAATGTTTGCAAAGAGTACAAGCATGTATAACATGAAAAAGATGACAAAGTACAGGTATTTAAGGTCCTCCATTCTGTAAAAGGCTTCCAGTATTATAAATGACACAACGGATGAGTTTTTCATCTTCTTTATAATGTTCAACTCAAATATAAATGTTCAAAATATTTAGATTAACATTTAAGAACTTTTTTAGATTCAGTCTCCATTGTCTCTAGGTGCTGCCAGTTATCCAGTCCATGTGTAAAGTTAAGATACCTACAAAGAGTAGTCCAGATAGTTCAAATCAAATGAACAACACAAATGGATGACACATCGTGACTTACTTTACTGTGCATTCATGCTGTTTATATGAGCATTGTGTATAACTTTGGATGGCTGTCTTGGGGTTTCAGATCACATGATGATGATGTTCTGTGTATGTAAATGTCCTGTTATGGAACATTTCTTGAATGTGAAATGCTAATTCATTCTACATTTATTGAACATTTAAAGCCTGACATGAAATAATAGTCTGATTTGTTTTTTATTTTTATGTAACAGGAGATCATTTTGGAGATCACTAGATAATGTTGGAGATGACAGGAGTTAATGGTGGAGAATCCGTGTATCATTCGATCATTCGTTTTTTTATTTAATATTGAAAGTAGAAAAATTTGAAAACGGCTCCTTTTTCGTTTTTCAGCTTAAAGAAGAAGAATTTAGCTTAAATTTTCGTTTTTCGTTCAGGGGTAGAAAAATGAATAAACAGCTTGAATATTCGATTTCTACATGTGGGCGGGAATTAAACGCCCCTTTCTGCTGATTGGTCAGCCGAATATCAAACCATGCCATCATCAGTTCTTCCGCAGTATCAAACCGTATCAAATTCATTTTTCCACCCAAGAACGAAAAACGAAAATTTAAGCTGAATTCTCGGTTTTCGTTTTTTGGAAAAAAGCAAAAAAGCACTGGAGTTAACGTGGGAGATCAAGGGAGATCGCTGGAGTTAATGTTGGAGTAAACATTGGAGATCTCTGGATCAATGACACAAGACTGTGATCTCCAGCGATCTCCAATGTTTGATCGCCATTGTTATCACTAGTGATCTCCAGCTTTATTTCCAGGATTCTCCAATGGGCCGTTTGCTCCAGCTAGACGTAAAAACGCTGGGTGTAAGCCCTACGCTGGGCTTTGCAACGTCCTGCTTTATGATAAATATTTACACCTGTAGCACCAACTGAAACTACGATCAGGCGCAACTACGCCCGGCATAGACAATGCGCGTCCACGTCGCAATGGCTACAACTACTAATATAGAACTGAATTGCTCAAGACATAATATAAGGGAAATCACTGCACTATGATTTAATTGAGTAAACATTTCCTAACAAGTCCGCGTTTTTATATCTGAAGTCTCCCTGCACACTCCCATGACAGATTTCATCAAGGTTAAGTAAAATATAATAAATGTAATACAATGCTTCTCTCTAGAGTTATTTTTTTTATAGCTGACTATCAAGTTTATGTACAATGAATGTCTTTCCTGAGGTAATTGTGACTTTACGTGACATTTTGTGATTCAGATATTACTTACAAATGTTAGGAACGTAAGCTATTTATTGACACAATGAAACATTTGAAACCATGCATTTTTTTCACCTAGAAAATAACAAAGATCCTACTTTAAAGGCAGTATCTTATTCTTAGAGCCACAAAGTCGAAAAATATTGCCTCTCAGAGCCTGAACACTCAGCCCATAAATGGCTGGATTCAGAATAGGAGGAAATATCAAGAAATAAAGTGACATCAATATTTGTGTTTCAAATGGGAGATAACTTGTGTCAAAGCGACTTTGTATAATTTCAAAAAAACATCCCACACTATAGTTCAGTATTGCAAATAAGTGTGGAGTGCAGGTCTTCAGTGCTTTTATTTTAGACTCTTTAGTGGCAGTAAAGCATATTTTAAGAATATGTCCGTATGAATAGAAAGTCATCACAAGCTGAGGAAAAGTGTATACAACAGCGAAAAGCAATCCAATAGCACTCACAACATTTGTGTCATCACAAGACAGTTTGACAAGAGAATAGTTGGAGCAGTAGACTCGCCCTATAATGTTTCTACAGTGTGTCAAGCGCAGAGTCAGAATAAAAAACAAAGCGAATGCCACTAAAGGATAACCCCATGAGAAAGCTATTAGTTTATACACTTTTGTGATCGTCATAATAGTGTGATACTGCAGCGGATAGCAGATGGCCACATAGCGATCATAGCACATCACTGACAAAATGGTGAACTCTATGATAGCATATGTGTGTAGGAAGTAAATTTGAGCCTTACAGCATGCCAAAGATACCTCATGAGGAGGAGACATTAAAGTAGCTACCAAGGGGGGAAGCAAAGCTGTGCTACCA